TGTACCGCCTCCGCCTGTACCGCCTCCTCTTGCTCAACCTTTGCCTTTCCCTCTTCATTCTGTGCCCCCAATTTGTTCCTATCTCGCCCCAAACTCTTTCGTCACATACTCGAACTCGTCATCCTGACTCGCTCCCGATATATCCCCTGCTTAACTCGGTTCGACCACGGTCTGCTCTGTAAAACGTAGCCTCGCTCTTCCTTTAGGCCACCCCCGCCTACCTCTGCACTCCCCTGTCCGGCTCGCGGTCCCTGAAATTTGAACAGTTCTGCCTCTTTGATCCCGGAAGGGAAAATGTATTTTGGAATCCGTTTAAACGACTACATTGTGTCGACCCACGCAATCCAACACAATCGGCCGAACATAATGCATAGCAGTAACAATCGAAACAAAAGTATTAATGAATTTATTAATGGCGATGGTGCCAGCAAAAGAAAAACTCGATGTACTCGGAAGTTCAGCTAAATCCCATCAAGAATGTCAAGAGAATACTCGGTAAAGAATGTGATGTCGGAGTTACAGCACATATGATGCCAAGAGTTACAGCTCATAATAGTACACATTAGATATTACAGACATTGTTTGTCCACAGGATGCTTCGCGTTTCGAAATTCGCAAAATATTGCGGAATTACCTCGCAATTCGTTGCAAGCTATCTCGGATTAATGCAAACGGATGCTTTTCTTCTCTGTCCCTCATTCCAGCTCTTCTCCTTCAGCGGCACGGCAATATTTGAACAATATATTTTTCTTCTCTCCATTACCAAGGCTTTAAAAGCTCTTTAAAAGATCGGTGAAGACTTTCAGGGATAAAACTGTTGAAATGTCAGACTTATTAAAGTTTTAAATCGTTTTCGTTTCTCAGATCGTTTAAGTATTCTCAGTTGTTTTGTTTAATTAAGAATATTAAGGCGCTTATTCTCTTCATTGATACGCCATTCTTAATGAAGTGGAGAGCTAATTGAAAGCTAAGAATTCATTGATTTGATCACAATATAGAAATGATTGCTAGGAGGGAATGCATTTTATTCTCCACGGTAATTCAGTAAACATGAAAAGAATCAAAATAATAAAACAGATTTTACGACAACGAACAAACGAGATTTTCGGAAAAACGAACTTGAATTCCGTGTGTAACTTTACAAGAGTCCAATGATGTAATCATCCGTCCTGCTAAATAGTCCTTTTAATCCTTAGAGGTAAATAGAACGGAAAATATTCATATTCTTCGGCTTGGGGGACATCTGTGCTTTGAGTTCGGTAGTGCTAATTGAAAAATATTTGTAAAATTGAATTAATCACTGGTTGCTAAGCGATTTTTGCATAACTGTTTTATAAAAATTTAGATTGTAATATTTAAAAACCATTCGATTACAGGAACACAACTGAAATGCTACAGCAATAATTACTGCGCATACACATTTCTTAATGAAACTCATTAAACTAATATTTTGTGACTCAAATATTACTGTTTGTGCTTTGTGCGTGTAGATTAGACTGTTCGACGTGTTTGTTCTGTAGGATGCGCCATCAACGGGTCGCTCTAGAGTGCAAAGGCTACAGCGCTATTACAGGTCGTCGAGTATTCTTTTTCGCAAAAAGACACGCACGCACAAGTACACGCGTCCCACACATGCGTACACTTACACGTACATGTATACACGTGTTCCACACATTCAAATTCCGGTCTTCTATACGTAAGTGCCTGTTCTTATATATCCACACATTCTTACACTATGCACCCATGCTCACCCATACACACCGTTGGGAGCGGAGGGGGCGTGAGCGAAGGAGAAGTGGAGGCCGGGGCCAAACGTAGTGGGGCGGGGTTGGGCGGGAGGGTGGGGGCGAGAGCGCAGCGGTTCCGCCGCGTCACCTCGCGGGCACGCGCCCCTAAATAGCGCACGGGCGACGGCGACTCACCGCTCGGGAGCGTCAGGAGGCGCTCTCATCGCCCTCGGAAATCCGGCGCTGCCAACCGTTGCACAAGGCGCCTCGATTAACACTGCGTCAATGCGGTCGCTCATCGGATTGAGCGGAACGTCGTTGCGTCTTCTTTTGCAACTTTCGCCTCGTGTTCTTTTGTTTCGTAAGCTGACGGAGGATGTGGAGGGTGAGGTACGACAGGATGGGGGATTTGAGCCCTTCGTTCGTAAAATGTCCGTTAATTATGCGTCCGTTAATTATGGCTTCGATTCTTAGACTTCGGCGGCAAGGAAAGCGAGAAATGGTCTTGTAGTGTTCCACATATTTGCGCTGAGAGTGTGAGCTCTGTGCCTGTGAGAGCGCGGAGTGGCCGAGAGTGATGCTCACTGAAGAAGCTTTGCTGTTGCAGAGCTGGGCTAGCACAATTGCTCAATTGCAAATGACAGTACCCTACGTATACAGCGTGTCTCAAAATAAATGTTACAAACATCTACGGCATGTAGGAACGTCGAAGATGATCACTTTTTGCCAATAAATAGGTGGTTAGAAATCACAGAACGAAGCTACGCAAGATACATTTGCACCTGACTGTTTGGCAACTGATCTTGCACTGATGTTTGGCAAGTGCTCGCAATCTCTTGAACTGAGTCAGAACGCGTATGTGCCAATCATCAGAACACGATGAGTTGCGTGCTGATCAGGCTCACATGCCCGATGAGTTACATATGGTGTGAGATTTTCCACCACAAACAAGCTTATTAGCAAAACGTTTTCATCTTCGACCCCTCTACATGTGTTAGGGGTTTATGACATTTATTTAGAATCACTGCATAGGCCGGTAGCTGAAGGCGCCAGAAACCCCGCGCAGAGCGTTTGAAGTGTGTGAGGTGTGTGAGCTTCGACCGAAGCAAGCCAACCCCCGCCCCCCCTCCATTCGCCGAAGACGCAGCTAGTGTCCTTGCGGTGTGCTCTAACCCTTGCGCGTGCGCGCTTGCGTGCTGAGGCCGGGGCGGTGTGCTCTTGCAGAGGCGGGAGGTGGACTGGAGCAAGCACCCGTCGGTGGCGCGGCCCAGCCAGGTGACGCTGCCGTTCCTGGCGTTCGCGCGCCGCCCCGCGCCGCACCACGAGGAGGTGCGCCGCCGCGAGCTGCACACCGCCGCGCCGCGCTCCCGCCTCATCTTCGAGGTGCCGCGCCGCCCTGACTTCCGCTACGCCTACTAGACGCGCCTTCTCTCGCCGATCGACGCCCTGGGTTCAAAAGGACACCGATGAAAAGGGAAACCAATGGTAACCCTCGTTGATGCACGGTGGACAAAAAGTCTTTTATTTCTTGCGAGTTGCTATAAAAGACACCCTCATTGATACAGGATGGCCGAAAAGTGGTATTTTCTGCGAATTGCTATAAAAGACACCCTCGTTGATACAGGGTGGGCAAAAAAAAGTTATTTTCTGCGAGTTGCTATAAAAGACACCCTCGTAACCCTCGTTGATACAGGGTGGACCAAAAAATGTATTTTCTGGGAGTTGCTTCAAAAGACATCTCCACTGTGACCAGTGACGTAACGGAAAGAATGCAGACCCGACTGCAACACTTTTGCCTGGGCCCCCTTGATATAAAAGTGTAGAGCAAACGGGAGTTAGTGCCTTAAATAATAAAACTATCCCCTAAAAATAGGTACTCTTTTACCCGGGCCCGCTTGCATTGCCGGCCTCGTGGGCCCGAACGGTACGCCACTGGTCTGCGATGTCAAAAGACGTAACCAGAAAATTTCACCGAGCAGACCTTTGTAGTCATTTTTAGGACTACAAATGCTGCCTTTTTCAACAAACAAGTGTATTGGAGGGCTACCATTGTATTTCCATAAAATGCTACCAAAATGCAAAGGGTTGCCATTATATTCGCCCTTACCCTTTAAAAGTACAATTTTAACATAATCCTTTTTGAACTTACGGTGTCGAAATGCTCTTGTCTTTGTTGTGGTTCTATATTAAGACAAGTTTCAACTAGATGTACTTTATAATGTTCTGTCATATTTTTTATTTCTTTGTGTATAGCTTCTTCCATTTTTACATTATCAAATATTCCGATCTTCTCCTCCTTTCTCCTCTTTTCTCATTTGTTTTGTCTTATATTAATGTTTTTGAGAACAATTCGGCGCAAAATATATTCCTTCCAATTCGCTTTCCTGTTCATTTTTCCAATAACTTTCCTTTCCTCTTTTAATTCTTCTCAGTTATGATTCATTAATTTTTGTGCATTGGATACTCAAATGTTCTTTTAGTACATTTCGTCAAACAGCATTTAGTCGGATTCTTTTTTATTCTATGTGAACAAGAGTAAATGAGTGTCAACATCGAGGCAGATTTATTTCTCTTTTTATACATGTTTCACTGTAATTTTTTTAAATTAAAAGAAGAAACAAGCTGTTTGACGACGATACTTCTGTTCTAAGCTGTTTGTAAAAAAATCAAATTTATCCTCATTATAATGTACAAATATTACTTATTTACTGTAAATTACTTTAGTGTCATTCAGTTTTGTAAAATGTAAGTTATCTTTAACTCTAGAATTTCTTGGTTAAGATGTGCACAAAATATTTTGTTCTAATACAATGCATTTTCTAACAGAACATTTATATCAACCCTGCAGACCGATCATTACTCACAAATTAAACATGATATTGTAATTTCAATGCTTATTCCATTTACTTAACTCAGGAGGGAATCGATTGCGAAACGAACTCGAACTAGGTCGAAACTAATGTTTCTCGCAAAAGATGTAAATTTTTCTGTAAACACATACCAAAAAATATATATTCCAAATAACACATCTACAAAACTTAGCATGCTAAATTTCTTTAGACATTTTACCATCTATATGTGTTCGTATCTCAGAACTCTGATTAAAATGGCAGACAATATTCACTTATTGCTTTTGAAATTAATTTAAGAATATCCTGAAAAATATGAAATTGTGAAACGCAGTTGTCATATATTTTAAAATGTCATTTGTATTGAAGTTTGTTTGTAACCAAATATTAAAACGAATGCATATGTTTTAGAAATGTCTCGTTTGGATACTCAGACGCTTTTAGTTTCCTTGGCCTATGATAGAAATGTGTCTTAGGCGCGGGCGCCTTTCTAGGAAAAACTAACACATGCTTTTGCAGAGTTGCAATTATGTTAAAACATCCTTTGCTTTTCTTCACTACAGTTAGTTTCTCCAGTGATTTTTATATTGCATTCTTGTTGCTTAATGCTAACAAAGTTATATTGCATTTTTGTCTAAGTTTTAGATATACTTTTTATTTTTGTGGAAATTAGACTAATAGACTGTGATATATTTTATTACGTCGCTATGTACTTTTTTGCTGGATAATAAAAATATATTTTAAATAGCATTTATGTGTTTTAGTTATTCTTTTAATTTTCCTTATTCCTTTCCCATTATCTTCACTAAAGCGAGAGTTAAAATTTCAGTATTGCACATGACATAAAAACTTCGGAAGAAGTTTCAAAAATATTTTTGATTGTGGTGGAGTTAGCTTGGCAGGGAAACTAGATTACTAGAACTAATTTATAAGTTATATTATATATGCTAGGCTAGTACTGTATGTATTTGTCCAGATATTTTGGGCAACTGTAATGAATTTTTTTTTCCAGTAGTTCGAACTACTGGCAAAGTGTCAATTGTTATAACTTTTGAAATAATATTTATTTTCTGAGATTAGGGTATCTGAATTGGTAAGTTTATATTAGAGGAGGGAAATCAAGCGATGCATATTATTTTGTGCATGGTTTACTTTCTTATTTTGTCTGCACTTTTTTGTGAACATTCCTCTGAGAATGTTAGTGCATATGTTTGGCCCATTTGGAGCTAATTGGTTCACATTCAGTTAAAAGTGTGTGATCAAATGCTTCTTCTTTTAAGTATAACACTTTGAGTACTATGAGTGTGCGTGATACTTCTTATGTATGTGACACATCTCTGATATTACAACGCGCAGCGGGACGCGTCTTTGCTTGTCTAGGAGAAAAAACATCCAATTTCATTTGTTCGTATTGTGGCATGTTACGCGAGGCAACACTCCACAGCGAGCTGGTCACCGGAACACGTCTGGTAAAGTCGGTAATAGAAGTAGAGTGAACACGAAATTTCCCGACTGTAAAACATTTTAGATGATCGTTAGACTTAGTGTATCTACGTTTTTAGCAAGAGCAATTTTAAAATTTGTCGTATATATATATATATATATATATATTATATATAATATATATATATATATATATATATATAGTGTGTGTGAAATTTTAAGTAGTTTTCCGCATAGAAAATTACTTTTTTCAGCTTTGTGTTCTTAATGTGAACGAATAGATTTACATTAGACTAAAAGACTAAAACCGTCTGTTAAATTTCACTTGTCTCCACATACGTACGTGTCCAAGAACAGTTGCCGCCGCAGCCGCTGGACGTGTTCCGTGCTCCCGGCACGCTATCTGACGGCGCGCCCTCGAGCCGGCGTTGTGGAGCGTTGCCCGCACCCTCGTGACGTCATGGCGAGCGCCCACCGCGCGCATTTCCAGCCGCGCCGCCCCTCCCACCTGGCTCAACGAACTCTTCTGTGTCAATCGAACTCATCCAATGGTCATCGTGGGTAGCAACCGAGATGTGCTATCCTGTCTAGTGTTTCATTTTAAAATTCTCGAGAGAAAAAAACAACTTAAATTGCATTCGGTGTAAAGTTCCCTTGCGAACAGTAAATCTATAGCTTGGGACATCAAGGTTTGCTTTTCTTTGAAGTATGGACTGTAAGAAATATATTATGTCTGCTTAAAAAAATCGTCTTTCATCTCATTCAAATCTTCGACCAAGCTGACCTTACATCATATTTTATATTTATGTGGACGAGCAAGAACTGTACGGAAATTGTTCATAATAAGCATCGCTAATTAATAAATAGCTAATTAAGGAAGTACCAGGGCGTTTTAAATATTTCTTCGCATTTTTGTTGAAAATTGATGCTCTTAGTCAACCTCAAAATTCAAGTGATCATGAGGTGGATAGAATGAATTTGGACAAGCATATTTTGTGTAATTCTTGTTTCAACGTGTGGTAAAATGCGATGATGCGATACATGAAGAAGGAAAGTGTCAATTATGATTCTTTAGCCCTTCGTAAGAGTGGGCGGGCCGGCGCTGTCACACAATGAATCAAGAATACTCACGGAACTCGTAGAACGAATATCAATTTTCGAGAAGACTTCGCTGAACAAAAAATCTAAATTTTCGTCCTAAGTCAACTTTGAGTAATGAGGTTTTACAAAATTATGTTTGAATAGTCTAAAATGAGAAATTTATGTTGAAGTGTGTGATAGACAATTAGAAATTTATTTGGAGATTAAAATTTAATGGAACATAACTTTTATATTTTGGACAATTTTTTAACTTAATGAATAAAATACTCTTTTAATATTTTTTGTGTTTTTCATTTTTTGCAAATTCTAGCACAGTAACGGCAGAGTTTTTATGAATTTTACGTGGGTCATTCAAAAATTGAGGAAACAAGTTCTGTTATTGACATGCTTCAATCCACAAGCAGAAATACTGGTACATTGTAGAAAAGCAGATTAATGAATATTAATTTTCAACAAACCATTGTTCTCCTCCAGATAATAACTTCAGCGGTAGAACTAGACATTGAAGGAGGATATCAGCGTCTAATCTCGTCACGTCATAACAACTTGCTTATCTTTGATATCGGTTGTGAGTCGCTTGTCAGCCAGATGCTTCTTTAATCCAAAGTGATGAACATGACTGGGTTCCAGATTGAGCCAACATCACGTGTAATTTATGACCGTACTTCCCATAGTATGACGATCTTCTTTACAGGCCCTGCGTAACAAACTGGGAGTCCATCACTTTGGATGATTGAAGACCTATCAGAACATTTGGTGATTCACAATCTATTCAATGACCCGTCTCGAGAGTACCCTAATGGACTGGAAGCCGGTCTTGACAGTGCTTTGGACAGAATTCTTAGTCTGATTTTGAACTAGATATTTCAACTATTACAGTGACCATTGAAAAGTAAATTGTATATCACTGACATTCTGTAGGATGCCTCAAAATAAATGTTTCATATGTTTTGGAGATATAGAGGAGTCGAAAATGATCTATTTTCTCAAGAAGCTTGCACGGATGAAACAAACACTTTATGTATAGATGTTCTGCAGGACATACCAAAGAGATATCGTGTACCTGCCGGAGACATGTACGTAGGGTTGTCTATCATTCAGAGGCAAATATTACACATTTAACTTCGTAATATGAAATGTTACACTGCATGATCATTGGCAAAAGGTAATGAATTTTGACCCCTCCACATTTCATAGAAGGTTGTAACATTTGTTCTGAAATTTGCAAGTACATCTGCTTATGGAGTAAAGTGTGTCGATGGAGCTCTAGTTTCATAAGCTTTTCAAGCAGCCTCGTATTCCGTAACTGAAAGGTACACTGAGAAATAAGTTAGGTCTTCAAAGGGGCTTAAAGAAGTCATAAGAGAGCTCCTCCAAAAGATTAGGTTTGCTGATCGTGCGTCCGTGAGAGCTCTGAGAGAGCAGGGTGCGAATTGACGAGGGAGTTCGGCGGAGACGGTGCTTTCCTAGAGTTGGACATCTACTGAAGACTTATAATTTCTCCTTAATTTGCCAGTTGTTAATCCAAATCAAGTGCCGAATATACGATTTACTTGATCTGAAGTTTTTCAAATGAATTTAAATGACGGAGTATTACTTTGTCATAACTGTCTAATTCAAATATATATTAATATTTAGATCTTCTTCGTTTTAAACACAGTTAATATTTTAATAAACGTATTTAATAGTTCATAAAAATGAAAAAAAACGATGATTTTGCTTTGAATTTCAATAAACGTTTGTTGTCTTTTTTCAAGTATAGAAACAGGAATTGTTAAAATAACTTTTTCTGAAACTTTGTTCCACCTTTAAACCATTGTTATAAAACAAATGTTTTAGAATAATTATTTGAAACAGTCTTATTTGCACCAAACGTTTGTCAAAAAGTTGTACAGTTCAGGAGAAAAACAACAACATTGCATTTCTTCATTTTTATGAACGATTAAATATCTTTATTACAATATTTCTGTCTTTATTTTGAAAGGGATCTATATATTAATACCAAATGACTGAAGTTGGACAACAAAATATTATTAGACAAACATTAAAAGACAGAATTATTAGGGTTCATTGAAGCTGCGCGAAGATGGTTTTAGCGTGCGTATCCAATCCGCCTCCTGAAATGGGAACGCGCCAGTGCGCCCTGAGCTGTGAGCGGGCGGTGGGTGGGTGTGCCCGCAGACGCCGCGCCACTACGTGGTGCTGGACGAGCCGACGCGTCCGCGGCGCGCCGAGGAGCAGTACTCCTACTCGTACGCCAGCGAGGTGCAGAGCTCGGGCAGCGGCGGCCCGCCCACGCGCTCCTACTCGAGCAGCAGCGAGCGAGTGAGCCGCGCGGCGGGCGGCGGGCCCGGCAACTACTCCTACTCCACCGAGCGCTCTGAGCGCTCGTCGGGCTACCCCGGCGGCTACCACTCCTCCTACTCCTCCACCACCTCCGGCCGCCTGCCGCACGGCACCAGCTACCGCCACTTCAGCTACCGCGTTTAGACCCGCCCTGCCACGCCCCCCCTCTCCCGCCGTGCCCTAGCACCCTCACCCACCTTTACCCGTAGATTAGAATCCGTTGAGTTCCCTTTTTGACGTAACCTGTAATTATTCACCTTGGATGTAGACTATAGTGCCTTGGGCTCACCTTTGGATGTAGACTATAATGCCTTGGGCTCACCTTTGGATGTAGACTACAATGCCTTGGGCTCACCTTTGGATGTAGACTACAATGCCTTGGGTTTACCTTGGGATGTAGACTATAATGCCTTGGGTTTACCTTTGGATCTAGACTATAATTCCTTGGATCACCTTTCGGTGTAGACTATAATGTATTGGGTTCACCTTTGAATGTAGACTATAATGTTTTAAGTTTACATTTTGTTGTAGACTTTAATGGGTTGGGATCAGTGCCGGGACAAATTGCAACCAACGGAAACATTTTTTACTTCAATTATCACCGAGCGGCGAGTGGCAGCTGTTGGTACAGAGGAGGCTCTACCATAGTGCGAATTGGCCCCGACGCTAACCCAGCAGGATTGGAAACTTCACTATTTTCAATGTTGTCAAACAGTCGTACGTTCGCCCTGTGCAGAGCTGCCACTGTAATTCGGCGCGTGGGGGCGTGGGCGGTGCGAACGGTCCCGCAGCCGGTAGCTCCCAGCCCCGGCTTGCCAGGCCCTCGCCCCGCCCTCGCCTCCCCGCCCCGCCCTCGCCGCCGCCAACTGTCCCTTTGGCACCCTCCACACGACGCCGCTTCGCTCCCTGGTCTTCTGACAACCGAGTACAACACTAAGAGTCGGAACGAGAGATTGGCATCTTACGAGACAATAAACGGCTAGAGACGCCTAGTGTATATTCCACATAGTACTGTTTGCCTGATCAACAAATGAACGAATTACATTTTTTCATTATTCCGACCATCTTCATTGTTAAAGTGCGGTCTATTCAATACAGCAGATTAATTTATACTTCATTATGTTTTCAAAAAAAAAAAAAAAAAAAAAAAACGCTTTTTACAATTTTTACCGCACACAAGGCAACAAAAGAACACAAATTTCCTCAAGTCATGAGAGACGATCTGCTAAATAGCATCCCTAGTGCGTGTGGAGCATTGCGTTGTACCGTTTGGTTCTCTGCACGATACAAATAAAAACTGAAGTTGGAGGGTCGTAATGGAGGGCGCATGACGGACAGTAGTTCTCAGAGGCTCCGCTAGGGCGCGGACCTGCTTCCGCTTCCGCAAAATCCCCACTCTAGCGCTAGGCACCCGCAGCTAGACTCAAACCAGAGCGGACTGACCGCAATTGTGGTAGATTTTTGTATAATTCGTGTTGGAATTTTTTTGATCTTCAATTTTTAGCTTTTTTTGCTGCTTTTTATTAAAATATTTACATTTATTTTTGGGATAGACTTTTTGTCGTTTTTTTTCATTCTATCGAATGGATCTCTAACATGAATGTCTAAATCTATAACGTCTCGGTTACACCGAAACGGTTTAGATACGGTGATAGACATTTAAGACCGTGCAAGACTAAGTCAGATAGAATCCATTACTTTAATAGCTTTGTACGAGATCTAAAACATCTCCTTCTAAACATCAATACGACACTTCAGCAGACCAGGATATTAGAACATCTCACTATCACTCCAGAGCCTGTAATGTCTTCTCAATTATTTACTTATAAAATAATTCCCCGTCACGACTACATATCCTAGTCAAAAATGCATTAGTACTAAGAATACTCGTGTTGTATATTCTCCATTAACACCTTAACGAGTCCTTCCCAATGGCCGCATCATCCCCTCACCTAACCCGCCGCCACGGACACAGAAAGAAAAGCAAACGAAGCGATTGAATCGGACACTTGTCACACCCGTCAGCTGTCGAATCGCCTCGACGGCCACCGTAGGTAAGAAACATCGCCAAAAAACAAAAAAAGAAAAACAAAAAAAAACGAACCGCACTCAAGAACAAAGCACTCGCCATGACGTCCGGCGCCGAAACCAGCGCCCACCTTTTGTGTTTCTCGAGAGAACTAATGTGTGGTGTTGGTGCCTGTTCTGTTTCTGCCCCGCCCTACCCCCGCCCCCGCCCGCTCCCCGTCCCGCCACCTACCGCGCCCCGCCCCGCACGCCCCGCCCCGCTCGCCGGCCGCCCGCCCCGCCAACAGTGGACCCCTACCTCACCCCCGGTGTCCCGGCAAGGTAAGCCCTGCGCCCGCTCGGCGCACGCGCTCACAGGAGGCTGTTGCTTGCTCACCAGGGGCACCAGGAGGGCCGGCCAGAACGAAACTCGAAAAGACGTTAAGAACCCGGAGCCGTTTTTGAGAAAAAATTAAAATATTTAGGCTATATTACGATATTACGATTCGTATAGTCTGTGTGCCTGTTTGTACTGCCACAATAGCCTCAGATGGGGCCAAGGGACGTCCCGACCTTGCAGGAATGAGGTTAAGGGGCACGTGTGGTTAGCACATAAACATCCCTACGTGCTACCTCAATCTGAGAAGTGAGTGAAAATCTTTCTTATTGTCACACAGCAATAGATACCGGAATATTACAAGGAAAGTGCACGTTATAATTCGCTCTGACCGAGAATCGAACCAGGTGTCGCGTCATGGAAAGAGAGCTCGCTGACCAATGGGGACCTACTTATAAAATACCACCAAAATCATAATACCCGTTTCAAACTCGGAGGACTTTCATTTAAATCGATAGGAGCTAGGGATAATGTCAATTTTGAAGAAAATCGTCTGATCGGTTTAGGCACTAGCTTTGACCATAGACACTCACATGGACAGACGTCGCGCCGTCAACCAATATTTCGGTATCGAAGATCTACATATCATGAATTCTGACTACGCAACGTATTAGAGGAAGTATTTTATTGTATATAGGAACAATATTTATGTACTTTTTCATTACCTTAATAAGAGATTTTCTGTTGAAAATTTGCCATTTTCCGGAGTACAATTACAATTACTTGGGTGTTACGAAGTAAGGGCGATGAGATGTTTTGAGATGAGTCACGTTCTTGTGCACCAACATATTTTCTTACATATTGCAATTTGTTTGTGCAGTTCTCAAAAGTCTGCGATTATTGACTTGCAACTAGTTTCATGACACAACCTTCACTTGTCATCCGTTCACGTGTTCACTTGTCATTTGATATCCGTTTCATAACTGAAGTAGAAGAATCTTCGATATTTTGCACTTATACCAATCAAATTTCAACTTGTTTCGAATGATTTCTTTCTTTCTTTTTTATTTCTTTCTCATTTTTCAAAGTTGCAGTTTCAAATGAATCAGTTTCCCTTTATTTTCGAAAAACCAATCTAGTAATTACACCGATTTTATATGACTGAATATGATTCCAAATTTCTGAGCAATTCAGTCATTAAATCACCCTAGAAAATACATTCTTTGGAAGTTGGACGTTTATCCATGCAACTTGTTTGCTAACCATATTATTTTAGGTAAAACGGTAAAAAAATACTTCTGGTTAAACTTGTTGAGCAAGCAATAGAACCTACGAATTTGTTTGATTCTCATGACGTGTCTCCCAGTTCCTGAATTTTTATTAAGAGGAGCTGATATTATTTTTATGTTATGTTTTATTTTTCTTCATTTCTTCTTACATGTGCCTGTCAATGTTTGCTGTCGTTCTTTGCTTCTACGTTATGTCTTGTGTGTTTGTTAATGTAAGTTATGTTAAATGTGAGCTTTCGTATTATTATGTGTTGTCTTTACGTATTTATTGAGTTCAGCTCTTCAATATAAAGATGACAAGAAAAATAACGAGAATATAAGATTTGGTTTTGTTATGAGTATACTATGTATTATGAATAAATTTAAAAAATCTATTAATATTTTATTTGGCAGACACGTCATCCATATGTTTCGTGTTATATGTTTAAGTATGTAGGAATAATTTAATTACACATAGTTTCTCTTAAATAGATAAATGTAATATAGATAATTATTTTTGTAGTTATAGAGAATTGTAATAAAAATTACAATACACTGATTACACCTGCAATTTATTACATAAATTTCATAGAAATATATTAGGTAATAAATAAGTGGCGTTGATTTTAATTATATTTTTTCGGCGTTATTTTTATAATCCGATAAGATAGATTTTTTCTTTTTTGAATAATACGAATAATTGTGAATATTACCACTTTTAAAAATGATTTCAAAATTGGAGGATTGCTTGGACTTACATTAAAACAAGAGGAGCCTTTAACTTGTTATAATATTCATCATGTTTACTCCGTATGTTCAAAACGCAACATAACTTCGAGGTATCACTTGATTGGATTTGAGTGTATAATGCAAGTTCATGAACTGTATTGAGTGTTTACAAGACGTTAGCGTCATGTATGGAATATGTGTGAAGAGTCTTTTGTACTTTCTCGTATTTTTACGGAGCACTACAAAATTAATTGTGAGAAATATATTATTGTAAAGAAACAATGTATTAACTTTCAAGTGAATTTTGTGAAAGCAATAACAAATAAGAATAAATTCATAAAATTAGCAAATGTGTTACGAGTGAGAATCAAAACCACTGGCAAACCATTCAGTGAAATCTCCCGGAAGTAGGGCACTTAAATTCTATTCCAAATTTCTGGGATTACGGTTGAAGTTTAAATGATTCTACTGTTTGTATATATTGTACAAAGTGGTATCCTGGAAGATTACCTAACAACTTTTCAGTTTCACCTTCTTCGTACTCTGCGCCTCATCACCATTAATCATTATCATCTCTTTGCTTGAACCTACTTTTAATATGGCTAGTGTTGGGGAGGTATAGTTAAAATAAAATTAGTCTCTGTAGCGGGATCGAAGTAAAAATAACTGAAGTAAACATGATGAGTACAATACCGAAAGTTCAGTTGAATGCTTTTGAACGCTCTCTCCAACCGGGAGAGTGCATTGGAAATGGAAGGGGGCGAGACTTTCTTTTCCCATCCTCTCGCAAAAGAGGGCAACGCCACTTTTAAGCTTTTTGGCTCACAGGTGCACAGGGGTGGGGCAAAGCATGTAAGCTCACAGAAGCACACGTAAGCATTGTGGAAGCTCACAGAAGCACACATAAGCAATGTGGCCAGGACTTTGGGCTCAGGCGACGGTCAGATCTGCACATGGCATCAGAATGGGAGCTGCTTTTTGTTCTGCTTTCCTTTTTGGAATTTTTCGTTCCACTTTTACCCAGGAACCTAATTTGGGAAATGTACTTACATTTCTTTTTTCATTATATATACTTTTTAAATTATTTTATTTTTAGGTGTTTTATTTCATTTTAATCCAAATTTCAATTTTTTTTAAACGGACTTAAATTTCGTGTTTTTATTCGCGAAGAAGCTGGATTTTTAGTATTTTTATATTTTACCCATTTCAATCCACTGCTGCACAATTCGAAAGGCTTTAGCCTCCATAGTTCCACTGATTTGGAATGTCTTAATTTTGTTCGAGTATGGATTGAATTTTCCATAAATGGATATTATATGTTTTATGTTGCGAATGAAAATGCAAAATATCTGCGGCAGTTTTGATGATTTGTAAATAGGTTTATTAGTACTATTTTCATTCTCATGAAATATTGACGCTTTAAAATGAGAATTTAGATTAGTAATATAAAAAATAAGGGATCAATTTTTGCTTGAAATTATATTTAAAACAATACTTTCCTAATTTAAACCGCAGTGAACGGAAAAAAAATTATAAAAGATATCATTTTTCTTACCGTGGTTGAAAATAGTAATGATAATAAGCATTTTAATACTTGAGCCCCTTAATATGATGCTTTGTAGCGTATTAGTTCTTTTGAGAACAAAGTCTGAAGATTAATATAAAGTTATCTGAAAGTCTTGATCATAGTGTGCGTATAGAATAGTGTATGATGGATATTTAAGATATGACATTGGAGCCCTCATAATAATTAAGAATGCGTGTAATTTGACACTCTTCACCAACTGCCATAACTAATCTAGAATTTGGCATCTTGTAAACGAATTAAATTAGTTCGAGTCTTCTTAATTTGAAATACTTTAATTCCATATTGAATATAAAGATTGCAACGTTGTAATGTAAAGCATTGCAGCTTTTGTAACAAAAAGTATTAATAAGTATTAATTCGGAAAACTTTCAATAGAGCAATGTAGTTAATAAGAGAAATGTAAGTACCAAATGCAAAAGTTGTCCATTTGATTAGTATTATTCTAATTTCTTTCATTTAACTTAGCCCGTTGTAAAATTAATTTAAATTGTTTGCTATTATCTTGGAGATTGTAAATGAAAGAAAATCAATAGATAAGATATAGATTAAAAATGGAAACGAATAATTTAAATTACTGAGCTTCAATCGAGAGCCTTCTTTTCGGCGTCTTTAGCGTTTCGTGGTTCCTTCCCCGTTCGATGCCCGTCAGACGTTCGGCCGACGCGTCCCCAGGCCTGGATCCCTTCACTGACTGCGTTGTTCTGTCGCTCTGTCTGTAGATCATTTGGGTGTCTCCGCTGAGTGGCCGAGTGTACTCTACGGTACATAACATTCCACTAACATCTGCTTCACGCAAGTATTCTTAACGCTGTGCTGCTCACCGCCTCTTCACTGACTGCGTTCGGCCTAGGGGTGGAGGTTCAGGAGGGTAGGTTCAAAACGGAACGAGGGAGAATTCTGGCTTGTGGTTGTCACGTTAACGTATCGAACGTCAAAATCGATTAATAAGTAACTACCAAAGGTAAGTCCGATTTTACGTTCGATACTTTGAAATTATATCAATCAGTGATTAGTCATTTTCAGAAAGCCTATTATTGTCGCCCCTATGCTGAACCCAAGAGTAGAACAAAATTGGCTTTGTAGACATTAGAAATATTAGCTGCGCAGCTTGCTTCTTCTATAGCTATCTATTTTAGTTTCATTTATGTTTTAGCTTTTTGAGATTTTTGTCACCAAATTTTTGTATATAGTTCATGTACACAAATTTTACTATTTAATTATTTATTATCATTTTGTATTTGTGATAATTTTTATATCTTTCTTGTTTCAGCTTTTGTGAATTTCTATTTTGAAATATTTTGTTTACTTTTTATGCTCATATATTTCGCTTACAATATGTAGTAGCAGTAATTTTTGATGCGTAGATTGTTGTATACGTAGCAATTATTTTTGTATAATCGCAGCAGTAGACTCTTTTCTATTTTTGCGCTATTGCCTCTGCTTCTGTTGTTTTCGTTCGCACTTACTGAAGCCTACACCTCAACGATGTCGCTGGCATTCCTTTGCAAGGAACGTCGTATTACTCGCAGTAACACTTAATCTCTAACGGATCTAACCCTTAACCCTAACCTTCTAACCAAAAGGGTCGCCATAAGGGGTATAAGGGCAGGGAAGAGGGGGAGAGGGGGAGGGAAATAATGTATAGGAATGGGGTGCAACTGATTTGTCTGAGAAAAAGCATATTATTACATGGGTTATGCTACTCAACAGTATATTTTTAGAAAACCCGAGTGGTATGCTTAAATTAATTAATTTTTCCAAACCTAAAAGAGATTGAATTAACTGGGGAAAGTCGAGTTTCTTAAAATGTAATTAATAGATAAACGCAAATCGATGTTTTAAAGTTGCAAACTGTGGCATAATAATATATTGAGGGCGACTATTAACGTAATCACTGAAATTATTTATCTTACAATTTCAGTTTTACTATATAAAGTAGCATAAGTATTTGCAAACAGGTGTCAAAACTCAATAAGAAAAACATGTTTCAGTTAATCTGGAAAAAAATATAGACGAAAATATCGAAGTGTATGAATGAATTTGTGAAGATAAATTTTGTAAATTCGGTTAAAGCAACAGACAAAAGAATAGGGGTTAGGTCAAGATTTGAATAAGCTGCTTTAGAAGTAGTGGGAAACTCATTGGGAATAAGCATGTGGGATAAGATTGGGTGGGGTAGTTGGTAGTTGTTGATTGAATAGCATAGTGATTATTGGAAAAATCTGGTGGTTGGTTGGAGGGCGGGGTGGTTGGTTGGAGGACGTGTGGTGGATGGTTGGGCCGTTTAGCTATGTGATTGGGGATGAGTGGTGATTGGTGGGATGGGAACGAGTGATGCTTGGTTGCTTGGGAGCGAGTGATAGCGACTTGTTTGCCTAGATGCGAGTGATTGGGTGGGGCGAGTGATTATTGGGTGGGGCGAGTGATTATTGGGTGGGGCGAGTGATTGTTGGGTGGGGCGAGTGATTGTTGGTGTGGGCGAGTGATTGTTGGGTGGGGCGAGTGATGTGGGTGGGGCGAGTGATTTGTTGGTGCGCGGTGTTGGGGGTGGGCAGTAATAGGGGGGGGGTGTTGGTTGGGGGGAGTGGTGGTTTTGGTTGGATTGGCGGCGAGTGGTGGTTGCTGGTTGGTTGGGTTTGGGGCGAGTGAGGTGGTTGGCTGGTTTGGTTGGTTGGGGGCGGAGTGGTGGTTGTGGTGTTGTGGCGGTGGTTTGCGTTGGTTGGGGTGCGAGTGGTGGTTGGCTGGTTGGTTGTTGGGGGCGAGTGTGCGTTGGCTGGTTGGTTGGTTGGGGCGTAGTGGGGTGGGTGTGGTGGGCAGTGGGTTGGTTGGGTTGGTTGGTGGGGGCGAGTGGCGTGGTGGCTGGTTGGTTTGGTTGGGGGCGAAGTGGTGGTGGGTGGTTGGGGGAGAGTGGATGGGTGGTTGGTTGGTTGGGGGGCGAAGGTTGTTGGTGGGTGGTTGGTTGGTTGGTTGGGGGCAGTGGTGGTTGGGGCCGCTTCGGTGATTGTTTGAGACCGTAACGGTGATTTGGGGCGCGTTGGTGCGGTGTAAGCACGGAGAGGCTCCAAGGGAACGGGATCAGAGGAGCGTTGGCGGCCGAGGCTTGGGAGCGAGTGCCCGTCGCGGGCGCGGGCGTGCGGGTCGGGGCGCGGGCGGGTGTGACGGGCGCTGCTATCCGCAGGGCCAGACCTACCACCACGCGATCCCAAACGTGGCGCACCGCCGCCTCACGCCCGTGTCCGCCCCCGTGCACTCGGCCTTCCGCGTGCGCCCGTCCGTCATCATCGCGGCCATCGACCGCATCAACCACAAGCTGCGCCCGTCGCTCGCCTACCAGCCGGCGGAGGACTTCCTCAACGACCGCTCCGTCGTGGTGAGTCCCCAGCAGCGGCCCTCCGCCGGGCTGCAGCTCACACCCCGACGAGGTCTCTGCGATGAAAACGCTTGTCACACCGTCAGAAGAATACATAACACTATGATTAACAATGTTTTTTTAATTTTTTTTCTGGTTTTAATTCGACTACATTTCTGAGATTTTCTTCTTGCTATTTACAGCAGTAAGTTTGTTCAATAAAGTGGAAACAAGTAACATGGAAAAATATTAGAGGTGAATATCGTAAAATATTTCAAGTAGTTTTATTTTTGTCATTTGAAAATGGCAATAAATGTTTGCTAGTCAATGAACTGGATCGATAAATGGACTATTAGCCTTGAATTTGTGTTTTTTGATTTTTCAATGAATTGTGAATTTCTCCATAATGAATAATAATATAGTTCTGAAATATGTGAATAACATTCATACATTAGTTTTTGCAGGAAGAGATATAAATTACAATTCACTTCCCTGAAGAAAATGTAAATCAAATAGCATCAATTATTCACGATTTTTTAAATTTGTTTTTATTTTCCTATCCTTTGTTTATGTTAACTAACGTTCCTAATAACCTACATTTCATCAAAATTCATACATGGTGTAAGAACATTCTGCTGAGTCAACAACTTAATACAAAATGACCGAAAATAACAGAAGCAGAAATTCAATGAATGTTACAGAAGAATAATTTTTGCTTTGTGGTAGAAACAGATCTTCCGAAGAAAGCTTGATAAAATGTCATTTATTGGAACAGAAATAAATTCCATTCTGGTGAAATACAAAATCGAGAGTTGCAAAGAATGTTTGATATTTTATTTTAAAAATAATGTGATTTCTTTATTTTTTAACTTTCTTTGGTAATGTATGAACTTAAAGTTACTTGTTAAAAGAACAAATTTTTTCATGAAATGAAGAAACAAAGGAAATGTTTTCTACTGCCAACGTAGTAGCATAACGTTATAAAATTATTTTCAACAATAAAATGGTTTTACGCGAGAAGATTATGACGTACTTGTGAAACGAATAAGGAATGATATAAACGGCGTCCTTATGAAAGTTATAAAAACCTTTTTAGCCAAATTTTCTTTGCAATAAAAGTGTTGTAGAAAAATTATCCATCAATAGAAATAACATGATACCATTGATAAATCATTGATGTTCCATCAACCAAAGATATTCCTAGAATACGGAACAGAATGAAAGTTAATTTCTTCATTTAAACAGTGCTTAACATCTCAATTTTATAGGAAATACGGTGTAGATTGTACCTTCTTGACATTGCCTAAGAAAAACAGTTTCTTTTCTAATTCTCGTAAGCTACATAAATTTTCAGAGCTTTCGTTTTATTACCATTTATGGCGAATGTCAATATACATTATCTTTCAATTTGCAAGAGTACTAATTCATTTCCATTCTCTGACGACATTCACTCGTATGCCATCTAGTTGACGAACTACCTTAAAGAACAAATCTTATGGTGAGAGTTACACGTACATACGAGTAGATATTATTTGTAAATATATCAGTAAAATACGTGACGCAAAGGACCAATCGTAAAATGAGATTAAATAATTTGAATAAAACTTAGCTGTGATCGGATACATTTGGCTACGGCACTCCAGAAAACAGTAACTGAAGTACAGAAAAACGTTGCTTTATAGGGTGTTGTGGTTGACGTTTCAACGCTCTACGCTAGGAATATTTTATTCAAATTATTTTAAATTTTGACCATTGTGTCATTTATTTTATATTACATTTGAGAAAAAATATTTACAGTTTTTATACAGTACGATCACCATGCTCATTCTTACGACAATTTATTAACTGTTTAACATAGTTGAGTTAACGTTTTTGTCTCATAACCGAAATGAGATACCACCCTTCTAAATCGAAAGAGAAAGAAAATTTACAATCGTCATCAATTGCAAAAAAGTCTATCAATTTTCATAACTCACGTGGATAGAAAAGAACGTAAATGAGGCAGAAGATAATACAAAATGGTTAACAGAAGGACATAATAATAATAATAATAATAATAATAATAATAATAATAAATAAAAATAGAAATGAAAAGTTTGTTCAAAATTTGCATCTGCAAGGAGTTGTTTTTGTATATAATAATACTACCTTGGCGGTGGTGGTGGTGGTGGTGGTGACGGGGCGCGCGGTGTGTTGCAGTCGTTCGATGACGAGACGCGCTCCATCCGCGCCCAGACCAACGCGCTGCTGAAGCGCATCCACGCGCCGCTGCCGCGCGTCAGCAAGCCGCTGCCCGTCGTCTTCAGCACGTGAGTCCCTCGCAGTCCCTCGCAGTCTCTCGCAGTCCCTCGCAGTCCCTGCGAGTCACTCGCAGTCACCTCGCAGTCACTCGCAGTCACTCGCAGTCACTCGCAGTCACTCGCAGTCACCGCAGTCCTCGCAGCACTCGAGTCCCCCTCGCGAGTCTCGCAGTCCCCTCGCAGTCACCGCAGTCCCCTCGCAGTCCCTCGCAGTCCCTCGCAGTCCCTTCGCAGTCCCCTCGCAGTCCCCTCGCAGACAACAACCAGGCTTCACTACCAGAACCAACGAGCTAGGATATACTACATAGAGTGGCTGAAGCGCCTCCATCTTCGAAGCAAATTGAAACCATGTTTTTTGTACTGTTTTGTAATATTAGTAGTACGATGAATGGACCGTACTCCTCTCATGTTATTAAAATTGTATGTAATTTTGCCAAACGTTTATAACGAAACAAATTGCAAAATAAAATATTATTATAAAAAATGTTTTTTGTAGTCAAAGTGGCGCCCTCTGGGAAACAAAGTATTCTATACTGTGATTTATGCAACACTGCCCCTGTCAGGTCTCAGCTATTGACGGTTTCATCCAATCGGGGGCTCGAACATCACAATAGTGACGTCACTATGACGTTTAAGCTCCCGATTGGATGAAACTGTCAACATTTTAGGGACAGAGTTACGGTATTACGTTTGGCGTTAGTTACGGATGGTTACACAGCCCCTTGTGTATTTTGACTTCAAAAAATCATGGCGGCCACTAGTTCGGCGAGCCTCCACCAAGAGCGCTGAAACTATAGGGACAGACACTCTATTTAGTATATTCAAGCTCTTTGACCAGAACACACCAAGTCAATTTGGCAGGACTCTCAGAAATTGAACTTCAAAGTTTTCAATACTCAGTTCCAGTGAAGTAGTAAAATAAAACCTAACGATCTGCGTCGATTTGAAAACTAAGATCTTGGCAGGAAACATAAAGTTTCCTTTACCATAAAATTAAAATTTATTATAATTTGTTTCAAAAGTGGACGTGGTTTGTTATGGTTGTGAACCCCTCACGGCAAAGGGGCAATCAGAGCAAACTTTTCGAGAATGAGGTTTTTGCTATTTACGTAACAAGTACAGAAAGTGAAATAATGTAGAAATCAAACAAAACGGCACGCTTACTGAATTTCAACTTGTGAAAATAAAAAAAATCGCTGTCATTAGGGTTACAATTTAAAATACCTTGATTTACTTCCTCACGGCGTTCTTCAAAAGACATTTCTTTGAAACATCAGCATTTTTAGAAATGTTTGTAAGTATTCATCACATGTGGGCATGACAGAATAGTGGAAGGTATCTTAACATTGACCATTTTAACTAGTTCTAGTGCTAGTTGTAAAGCAGATTGAAGGATTCTTATAATAACCAGAGTTTTGCTTAATTTCCACTAGTAAATGTGTGAAAAATCCCAAAAGAAGCCATTTACGCATATACGTTCGTCTATACTTATCCATTTAAAATATGTTTCAAATAATTGAAAGAGTGAGTGAACTAATCAATGAACTTAAATAGAATGCCCGTGTATAGTGACTCAATGGGCATAAAAATTACTTGTAACTGTACAGGTAATTAATTTTTTTAGTAATCTGACACACCCAAGATAGAAAAATAATTTACTGAATGCAGTTTTTTGATATAAATTATTTATAAAATTTTGGTAACTTTTTGATCTTTCGTAAAGTTGTATACTTATTAACTCGTCTAATATGTGTGCATTACTCATTTTGCTTTATTCCTATTCCAAATCATATCAAGCTTACTGGTTACAATAATTATTTTGGTATGATGCATACTGCTCGGAAAGACATTTGGTACATCATAACAATCAAATATGGGTAATATTTTTTAAAAATTTATTGCAATAAACAGAGTGTCAAAATATTGTTTAAGAGTTGGGACATCTTAAAAAAACGTAATATCTGCTCTAGGGCGGTATAGATAATGCGAAAACGATCTAAACAGCTATCACTTTTTTCACAAAGTTAACAAGATGACATATTTGATACAGTTCCTTGCAACGTTAGGAAGTATATTTTAGTATATTTTATTTTTTGTGTAAGACCATCCAAAATACATTTTTTGTCTATAAAATAAAGACCAAATACAGTCTGACAAAATTATTAGAGACTCATACGATCTACATGTCTCGGAGTAGATATATCAAAGTTCTAGATCATGCATCTGATGCGAAGAACAATTTTTTTTTGCGAATGAACAGATGGGGAGCAATTTCATAGGCAAGGAAGTTGCACATTAGACATATGTTACTTATTGTTAGGCAACTTCTTAAGCACTAGTGTTTCGTAGGTCTCATTCAAAAGCAGTCTAAAAGATTTCGAGTATCTGCCAAAAGCCGGACAAGGCTAGTGCCACCAGTTGAAGGTGATGGCCACCAATTAAGGAGCAGACCAATTAAGGATAATGTCATAAGTATGACTTCGATATACGAGCTCTCTCGCGGCAGGATTATTGGCAAAAGGAATTGATATTGAGTGTTGTTTCTGAGCAGTATGTAACCTTTGTTCTAAGCTAGAGATGTTGGAAGGCAGTGAGTGGAGCGTGAGCGTGGGTGTGAGCGTGAGCGTGAGCGTGGGCGTGGGCGTGGGCGTGGGGGTTGAGCGTGGGCGAGAGCGTGGGCAAGAGAGTGGGCATGAGCGTGGGCGTGGGCGTGTGCGTGAGCGAGTGCGTGAGCGTGAGCGTGAGCGTGAGCGTGAGCGTGGGCGTGGTCGTGGGCGTGAGCGTGGGCGTGGGCGTGAGCGTGAGCGCGGGCGTGGGCGTGAGCGTGGGCGAGAGTGGGCGTGGGCGTGGGCGTGAGCGTGGGCGTGGGCGGTGCGCAGGTACCAGGCCGAGGAGACGGCGCTGCCGCCGCGCATCACCTCCGACGCGTACATCCACCGTATGCTGGGCGACCTGCGCGACGTGCGCCGCGATGTGCTCACCATGGCGCAGTACCCGGAGCCCGCCAAGGCGTACATAGGTGAGCATCATCATCATCATCATCATCATCATCATCATCATCATCATCAATATTACTATTATTATTTTATTATTATTATTATTATTGATAACATTATTATTGATTATATTATTATTATTTTTATTATTATTACTAATATTATTATTACTATTAATTATAATAAAATAAATTTAGAAAATATATTTAAATTTAAATATGATAAGACCAGTATTTTAACTGAAAGGATAAACATTATGTAATGTAGTCGAACCCAATTGGTATTCTTTCTTATTGTTTTTATGGTGATGGTTTTTGTACACTGTTAATGTAATTCTTTTGGAAATTTATTAATTATTATTATTATTATTATTTTTATTATTTTTATTATTTTTATTTTTGTTGTTGTTTTGGAGATTTTTTGGAGAGAAAGTAATTTCAACGCGGTGATCACTATGAGAAACTCTAGTTTATCCAAGCTCCGAATCGGTTAATCCTGTTATTAATCACTTGCGTAGCACTTGATTCACATTTCTCTCGTTTTGAACCTTCAACTATAAAAAAGGCCTCTGAACCGCCCTCCCGACACACACGCACACGCATACACACACTTACGTACACACACACACACACACACACACACACACTAATCGAAAGATACAGAATTCTCCGCGGAAAGCCTATGTAGCTCGCTTCCAATAATAGAAATAAAATGCTCATTTTTGTAAGTGAGGAGATAATTTTTTTCTAATCTATTGATCTGAAAAATCACAAAAAAGAAGTCGGTACTTGAACTTTTGTCTGGTGATTCCAATTAAGTCTGGAGCCTTGTGAATAGGTAATTTGCCATACAACTACGAAATGGGTGCTGCATTGCCAGGGGAGTACTCCACATAACTGAAACGTTTGTCATAAAACTTAAAACTCTTATATCATAAAACAAGAAAATGAACGCAAATTTTTATCGACGAGATTTCATGTTCATTATTCTACTTACTTACATTATAGTCTGTTCCTAAAAGGTACAAGAAAACATAACCCATACTACATTTCACGGAATTAACTGACATAAGATAACTTTTGTTTAGAATTATCACCAACAGTCTTTTTTAATAAGCTTTTGTCGGCAGTGTTTACCATATACAAACAAAGCCAACGGAGGAAACGGAGAATTGAATGGGCAAATAAATGGATTTATAAAATTCTCCTCAATGTTATTAATATATCACTGAACAAAATAATTCATTTCTGAAAACTATTCCAAGTTTTTTTCCCCTCCACCTTTAGTATTTTCCAGTGCTCTGTTTTAAGAGTTCGGAAACGTGCCCCTGTAGGCTGCTGTCCCGCGAGCTTGAGTGGCGTGCGGGTTGCGCTCTTCCACGCAATCAGGGGCCCCACGGGACAAGCGTGCGACGTGGTTGAACGACCTCATTGACGACGTTACCCCCCCCCTACCCCCCACCCTATCCCAAGGGCACCAGGAGCAGCGCCAGCGGAGAGGTCGTCAATGACTTAATAAGGAAACGGAAAGTCGATATCTTCCTCCGAAAGATTAAATAAGTCTTGTCTCGGTTAATCTAGTTAGAAGGTACTGAAACTACATTAAAAACGCAAATTGTAAGGGAAGCTGAACATAATATAATTAAACGTAATTTTATTTTAATATTTTGTATTAACATGTAGTATTATGTTACATCTAGTCGTAAAATAATGCATGGATATTAGTCTAACAATCAGGGACACTTGTTAATATAACTTCGTTGTAAAGGATATCTCAGAATAAATGTTACAAAAAGCATGAGGGCTTGTAGGTGGGTCACTTTATGTCAACAAACATGTGGTAGGAAATTTAATTTTAAGAAGTTTCTCGTGCCAATTGCACATGACTGGTATGCAAAGTATCACTCTTTGGTGTTTCTGGGCCACGATTTATTGACCTTATTAGAACGTGACCTGTAAAAAAAACTCCTGAATGGTGTGCAGAAGTTTTTTGTTTGGATTTTGCTGGGGTCATGAAATACCTTTGACCATGTCAGGTCTTGACTAAACACCATCGCCAATGTAAAGATACTAGGTGGTTTAACGATCAGGGGCAAACATCACATATAACTTTGTAAAATGACATTTCTTCTCACATGTCAAGAAGTTTTTAAATTTGACCACTTTTTATGTCCTAGAAGTTTGTAACGTTTATTCTGTATAACATTTTCCATCATATGTTCATTTGAACAAAACCCTTCATTCTACTAGAAGTTGATTATTTTCAAAATTCCCCACCATATATTCATTATCAAAAATAACCTCTCGGCCTCTTTACATTCTTTAAAAGTTTTTAACATTTATTCTGATAAAAATGTTTCACCATATGTTCATTAGAAAGAAGACACCACCTTCGACCTCCCTTCATTCTACTAGAAGTTCGTAACATTTATTCAGTATAGAATTTCACACCACACGTTCATTGTCATAAATAATCTCTCGGCCTCTCTACATTCTTTAGAAGTTTCTAACATTTATTCTGATAACATTTCCCACCTCATGTTCATTGGCAAAAGGCGATCATCTTCTATCTCTCTGCGTTCCCTAGAAGTTTTAACATTTTGGACATCTTTTAATTGAATAATTCGCCCCCGTGAGCGGTGGAAACTCCGAGTTTCCTCTACTACGCAACGGGTAACCGATGGCTTGTGTGCGTTGCAGGCAAGGGCCACTTGGCGTGCATCAGCTACGCGGGCGGGCGGCCGGTGGCGCGGCGCCGTAAGCTCTTCCACGACGACGACCTCATCAAGAACGAGGTGACGCTGCTCTCGCACTACGACCGCATGCGCCAGGCGGCCAAGTCGCCCCACGTCGACGTCGACGGTGAGCCCCGCACTCTCTCACTCACACTCACCCTCACACTCACCCTCACACACTCACACTCACACTCACCCTCACACTCACCCTCACACTCACCCTCACACTCACACTCACACACTCACACACTCACACTCACACTCACTCACACTCACACTCACACTCA